GGATAGGGCTGAAGTCCCATTTTCCCCTCCCCAGAGGTAACCGCTATATCAATTTTGCATATATTCTTTGCTTTCTTTTTCTATGTATTTGTAAACACATATATATCCCTATAGAAAATATATACCCCATGACAAGCCCTATCCAAACCCTTAGAGGCTACATGTGTTTGGAATTCAAAATTTTTTGGATTTTAGATAAATGATATGGTGCATATAGCATGAGGTCTAGGACAGGAATAGAGGTTCAGGCCATACCTCCTAATTAAACATATTAATATTTCTGTGGTGAAATGTATGACTAATTATATGAAATGGGATAAATAAAGCTTATAAGAAGCCTCACATCAGTTCAGGGCAAGTTTTTCTCCAGATGAGTTTGCCGCTTAACTTGGGTTTTTTAGACCTTTTTGGATTTCAGAATTACAGATAGGTGATAATGGGTTTTGGGGTTTTGTATAGTTTTACATGTGTGTTTTTGTTTTGTTTATAGTATTCTGTATGTATCAGGTACTTGCTATTTTTTAGCAATATTTTATTTTTACCAAAAGTTTTATATATATATATATATATATATATATATATATATATATAATAGTTTGTTAAATAGTTTAAATAGTATTTCAACCCTGGGAACCATAAATCTGTTTGAATATTTTTTTGATTGATTGATTTATTTAAGATTCCACATGAAAATGAGATTATACGGTATTTGTCTTTCTTTGTCTGACTTACCTCACTTAGCATAATGTCCTCAAGTTCCATCCATGTTGTTGCACATGGCAAGATTTCCCTTTTTATAGCTGGATAATATTTCATTGAATACACACACATGCACATACACACAAACACACACCACATCTTATTTATCCATTCATCCATCCATGGACACTTAGGTTGCTTCTATATCTTGGCTATTGTAAGTAATGCTGCAGCGAACATGGGGTACATATGTCTTTTCAAGTTAGTGTTTTCATTTTCTTCAGATTAATACCCAGAAGTGGGATTGCGGATCATATGGTAGTTTTAATTTCTTGAGGAACCTCTGTACCGTTTTTTCACAGTGGCTGCTCCAATTTGCATTCCCACCAACAGTGCACGAGGGTTCCCTTTTCTCCACATCCTTACCAACACTTGTTATCTTTGTCTTTGATAATAGACATGCTAAGAGGTGAGAGGTGATATCTCATTGTGGTTTTGATTTACATTTCTCTGATGATTCGTGATGTTGAGCATCTTTTCTTGTACCTGTTGTCCATTTGTGTGTCTTTGGAAAAATGTCTACCCAGATTCTCTGCTGATTTTGTAATGGATATTTTTTTCTATTGAGTTGTTTGACTTTGTAAGAGATACTAATCTCTTACCTGATATATGATTTGCCAATATTTTCTCCCATTTGGTAAGTTGCCTTTTCATTTTGTTGGTGGTTTCCTTTGCTGTGAAGAAGTTTTTTAGTTTCATGTCGTCTCACTTGTTTATTTTTGCATCTGTTGCCTTTGCTTTTGATGTCAAATCCAAAAAATCATCACCAAGACCAATGTCAAGGAGTTTACTCCTGTATTTTCTTCTAGGAGTTTAATGGTTTCAGGTCTTAGGTTCAAGTCTTCAATCCATTTTGAGTTAATTTTTGTGTATCGTATAAGATAGTACACTAGTTTTATTCTTTAGCATGTGGGCTGTCCAGTTTTCCCAACACTATTGCAAAGACTGTCCTTTCCCCATTGTATATTATTGTCTCCATTGTTGTAAATCAATTGACCATATAGTGTACATTTATTTATGGGCTCTATATTCTGTTCTACTGATTAATATGCCTGTTTTTGTGCCAGTACCATACTTTGTTTTTTTTTTGTTTTTTGTTTTTTTAAAGATTTTTATTGGGGAATTGGGGGATGGGAACAGCACTGGGGAATTGGGGGAAGGGGAACAGACAAGTTGCTGTCCTTTTGTTCTT